CTTGCTCACTGCATTGGCAGTTGCCATCTTCAAACGGTTGTAGTTTTAAAACCTACAGTGAAGAGCTTTATATTGTGAGAATCACAAGACCCAGACCTACATTTTGATGCATAGTATGTCTCTGAAATATTAAAAATGAAGGCACAGTCGCAGTTTAGAAATTGACCTTCAAATTTGAGGTGGCTAGAGTAGATTTTCAATGAATGTCAATGGGCGTTGTGAGTTGCAAACAAATAGACTATGGCTTAGCAGTGAACATTTTTAGTGGCAGCAGGTATAGCTGAATGTTTTAATATATGATTTGTGTAGGTGGGCTTGATAATGAGGGAGTGATGGCAGTTTAGAAATCATGTCCTGATTTTTCAGCTCACACTCTAGCTTTTGTCAGCTCCCACTCTAGTTTTGAACATTTCGCCATTCATTCCTATGGGACCATATTCACCACAAAAACGCCGATATTACGTGAACCATTCGGCAAAACGTTCCACAAAGTAATAGCATACCAATCGGGAACAATCCGCACGTTTCGGTATATTACTGTCTATGTAGTGTAAAAACTGTGGAAGGAGTTAGGGTGGTAAATTTGGCTATAATAATAAGAATATATACAGTGGGGATCGAAAGTTTGGGCACCCCAGCTAAAAATTTGTATTAATGTGCAAAAGAAGCCAAGGAAAGATGGAAAAATCTTCAAAAGGCATCAAATTACAGATTAGACATTCTTATAATATGTCAACAAAAGTTAGATTTTATTTCCATCATTTAAACTTTCAAAATAACAGAAAACAAAAAAATGGCATCTGCAAAAGTTTGGGCACCCTGCAGAGTTAATATCTTACTGCCCCCTTTGGCAAGTATCACAGCTTGTAAACACTTTTTGTAGCCAGCCAAGAGTCTTTCAATTCTTGTTTGAGGTATCTTTGCCCATTCTTCCTTACAAAAGTCTTCCAGTTCTTTGAGATTTCTGGGCTGTCTGTCACGCACTGCTCTTTTAAGGTCTATCCATAGATTTTCAATTATGTTGAGCTCAGGAGATTGTGAAAGCTATGGCAAAACCTTCAGTTTACACCTCTTGATGTAATTCCCTCGTGGATTTCGAGGTGTGTTTAGGATCATTATCCATTTGTAGAAGCCATCCTCTCTTTAACTTCAGCTTTTTCACAGATGGCATCAAGTTACCATCCAAAATTTGCTGAAATTTTATTGAATCCATTTTTCCTTCTACTCGTGAGATGTTCCCTGTGCCACTGGCTGCAACACAACCCCAAAGCATGATTGATCCAACCCCATGCTTAACAGTTGGACAGAGGTTCTTTTCATTAAATTATGCGCCCCTTCTTCTCCAAACGTACCTTTGCTCATTCCGGCCAAAAAATTCCATTTTAACCTCATCGGTCCATAGAACTTGTTTCCAAAATGCATCAGGCTTGTCTATATGTTCATTTGCAAAGTTCAAACGATGATTTTTGTGGTGAGGACGTAGAAGAGGTTTTCTTCTGATGACTCTTCCATGAAGACCATATTTGTACAAGTATCTCTTTATAGTGGAATAGTGTACCACAACTCCAGTGTCTGCCAGATCTTTCTGGAGGGATCGTGCAGTCAAACGTGGGTTTTGAATTGTTTTTCTCACAATCCTGCGAGCTGTTCTGTCTGATATTTTTCTTCGTCTTCCAGATCTTGCTTTAACTTCCACTGTTCCTGATGACTGCCATTTCTTAATTACATTCCGAACAGAGGATATTGACATCTGAAAACGCATTGCTATCTTCTTATAGCCTTCTCCAGCTTTGTGAGCGTCAACTATTTTCAGTTTCAGTTTTCTAGACAACTGCTTAGAAGAACCCATGGTGCTGATTGTTGGGGCAAGGTCAGATGAGTCTGGGCATTTAAAACCTTTGAGATTGACATCACCTGGTCTTCCCAGACGATGATTGAGAACAATCCATGACACTGGCAGGTCTCAGCTTGGCAAAGGGGGCAGTGCATGCTATAAATTCTGCAGGGTGCCCAAACTTTTGCAGACGCCATTTTTTTGTTTTCTGTTATTTTGAAAGTGTAAATGATGGAAATAAAATCTAACTTTTGTTGACATATTATAAGAATGTCTAATCTGTAATTTGATGCCTTTTGGAGATTTTTCCATCTTTCCTTGGCTTCTTTATGCACATTAATACAAATTTTTAGCTGGGGTGCCCAAACTTTCGATCCCCACTGTATGTGAGATAACAGTAAGTGGTCTTGCCATGCAAGAACACATAAATATACAGAAGAGTAGGAAAACACTTTATTAATTATACAAAGGATAGCAAAGTTGGTAACATGTTAAGCTTAAAAGGTTTACAAATATATCTTGTTTAAAGTGGCTTTAAAGGTTCAAGGTTTTTTATCCTCATGCATTCCATGCATGAAGGTAAAAGACTTTCTCTGTGCAGCATCCCCCCCAGTTTAGTCACCTAAACCCCCTCTCGATCCAGCGATGTGCACTAGAGTCTCGGCTATCCCAGGACTCATTCTCCTCATCGGCTGAGACAGAAGTTGGAGCCATTGGCTCCCACTGCTGTCAATCACAGCCAGTGAGTAAATGAGAAGAGAGAGGGGGTGGGGCTGAGCCACAGCTCTGTGTGTGAATGTATACATGAAGCAGCGGGTGCTCCCTGTCAGGAATGGTCTGGCCAGTAATGGTGGGACTCACCTGCCTTGTGGGCTGCAGTACCAGGGCTGGCCAGCGGGTGTTCCCAGCAATCAGAGACTCAACCCTGCAGCCAGCCAAACACCTGAAACTGCTTATGTAGGTGTATTTAAGTGATGGCCAGACCTGCAGTCTGGGCCTTGGTGTGTGTGTTTTTCCTGGGCCCTGTATCTTGTTCCTGCATCCCTGTTCCTGTTCCTGTTCCTGTCTCTGTCTGATTCGTTGCTGACTCTGCCTGATCCGGACCTCTGCTGACTTCTCCTGCTTTATCCCTGGCTTGTGACCCCGACCATTCTCTGCCTGACCCCCCTGTACCTACCTGCCCGATTGTTATTGACCCGGCCTGCCTGACGACGCTTGCATTGTATGTACTGTTATCTGTGGGTGGTTTGGTTTGGTTTGTTTGCACTGTGTTATGTTTTAGTATTGCACTGCGTTTATGTTTGTATTGTTAGTCTTTAATAAATTATATTGTTTATAACTTATCTGAAGCCTGCGTTTCCCTGCGTCAGTCACAGACCTCTGGTCATACCCTGGAGCCCTGACACTCCCACAGCAAGCTGCTTGCTGTGGGGGCACCCCACAAGAAGGAGGAGCCAGGAGCACCGGCAGGGAACCCAAGAAGAGGAGGATCCGGCCTGCTCTGTGCAAAACCACTGCACACAGCAGGTAAGTATAGACGTTTTTGTTATTTAAAAAAATACGCTTTTAGAATCCCTTTAAAGTAGAATTATGGTAGATAAAAAAAGATAGAAGAAACAGAAAAAAAAAAAGAGTGTGCGGCTGGTGATTTTTCCCTCTTCCCATCCCTCTATCCACCTATAATATAATATAACATTATATTATGATGTTCTGTTAATGTTCTGTTTTTTTTTTTTTTTTTTGAGAAATGAGTTTGTGATAGTGCAGGATCATTATGGCTAGGGCCATAATGCAGATCATTAAAAATGTGCAATTTAGAGATAACTTGAACAATAGTGATCATGGTATTATTTGCCTTAGTTACAGGAAAGAGAAGCATATTGGTATGACAAGAGTCATAAATTTAAAATAAAGCTAAAAGCAATAAGCTACCATCTTTACTGCATGACACTCAATGGGACCAAATAATTGCAACGAAGAACACAGGCAAGTGGGAGTATTTTAAAGTTTAATTAAACACATCTATTAGTCATTGTATTCAATTGGGCAACAAAAACAAAAAGCAAATGCAATTAAATCCATTGTGGCTAAATTCTAGTGTAAAGAAAAATAAAAAAAAAAACACAGGCCTTTGAAAAGTAAAAAGTAGAAGAAACATCCTCAGCTCTCCAAATTTACAAGAAGTACTGAACATAAAAAAATATACTAGATAGACTTGTGCCTTTTTTCAACCTGACTATGTAACTAGGGAGCTATCAGGGCTGCTAAGATAAAATATGAGAATCAGTTGCTATAGCAAGTAAAACAAATCCAAAACATGTCTTCAAATATATCAACAGTAAAAAGGTTATGGAAGAACGGGTAAACCATATAACAAATAAACACAGGAGGTTGCTCACAAATTACAGTGAAAAGGCACAGGCATTTTTTATTTGTTTTTTACAGATGAACAAGACAGATTTGGTAGTCGTAACATTAATGAAGTTTCATCAAAGGCACCTTGGTGGCTGACGAAAAACCAGGTACAAAAGAGATTAGAGAAACATAATGTGAACAAATCAAAGGTTCAGATGGCTTACACTTGCAAGGGAACTTGCAGTTATAGCCAAGCCACTATTTATAATTTTTAAAGACACCTTGCTGACTGAAATGGTACCAAATAATTGACATAGAGCAAATGTGGTACCAATTTACAAAAAAAAGGATCAATATGTATACCAGGGAACTAGATAACCAGTCAACCTAACATACACTATATTGCCAAAAGTATTAGGATGCCTACCTTTACATGCACATGAACGTTAATGGCATCCCAGTCTTAGTCTGTAGGGTTCAATATTGAGTTGGTCCACCCTTTGCAGCTATAACAGCTTCAACTCCTCTGAGAAGGCTGTCCACAAGGTTTAAGAGTGTGTTTAAGGGAATGTTTGACCATACTTCCAGAAGTGCATTTGTGATGCACTGATGTCAAACGAGAAGGCCTGGCTTGCAGTCTCTGCTCTAATTCATCCCAAAGGTGTTCTATTGAGTTTAGGTCAGGGCATTCAAGTTCCTCCACCTCAAACTCGCTCATTCATGTATTTATGGACCTTGCTTTGTGCGCTGGTACACAGTCATTTTGGAACAGGAAGAAGCCATCCCCAAACTGTTCCCACAAAGTTGGGAACATGAAATTGTCCAAAATGTCTTGGTATGTTGACGTCTTAAGAGTTTCCTTCACTGGAACTAATGGGCTAAGCCCAATACCTGATAAACAACCCCACTTCATAATCCCCCCTCCACCAAACTCTCCTGGTAGAAGCCAATCCTAGACAGGTCCATCAGATTGCCAGACAGAGAGGCGTGATTTGTCACACCAGAGAACATGTCTCCACTGTTCTAGAGTCCAGTGATGGCGTGCTTTACACCACTGCATCTGACACTTTGCATTGCACTTAATGATGTAAGGCTTGGATGCAGCTGCTCGGCCATGGAAACCCATTCCATGAAGCTCTCTACGCACTGTTGTTGTGGTAATCTGAAGACCACATGAAGTTTGGAGGTCTTTAGCTATTTACTCTGCAGACAGTGGGTGACTTTTATGCACTGTGTGCTTCAGCATGGGCTGACCCTGCTCTGTTTTTTTTTTTTGTGGCCTATCACTTTGTGGTTGAGTTGCTGTTGTTCCCAGTTGCTTCCACTTTGTTATAATACCACTAACAGTTGACCGTGGAATATTTAGTAGCAAGCAAATTTCACAGATAGACTTATTGCACAGGTGGAAACCTATCACGTTACCATGCTTGAATTCACTGAGCTCCTGATAGCGACCCATTCTTTCACAAATGTTTGTAGAAGGAATCTGCATGCCTAGGTGCTTGAGTTTATGCACCTATGGCAGTGGAGGTGATTGGAACACCTGAATGATTTGGAGGGGTGTTCCAATACTTTTGGCAATACAGTGTAAATAGTATGCATGGTATTTGAGGGAATGGTAAGGGACTCTAATTATTTATTTTTTACAATAAAGGTATCATGAGTGACAACCAGCATGGATTTATGAAAGACCGTTCTTGATAGATCAACTTGTTTACACACTATGAGGAAGTAAGTGAGAGATTTTATAGTGGAAGACCAGTGGATGTAGTCTATCTAGCTTGTTCGAAAGTATATGATACTGTAACTCAAAACCATTTAATCTATAAAATGAGGTTTGTTGGAGTTGATTAAATTGTATAGGAAACTGGTTACATGATGGGTTCCAGAGAGTGGTGATAAATTACTCATTTTCTGAATGGCCTAAATTTGTGAGTGGAGTGCTCCATGGTTCTTTGTTGGAGCCAATGCTGTTCAATTTGTTTATTAATGATATAGAGAGGTTGGAAGAGCTCAAACTCAGAGTTTGCTGTTATAAAATTATCCAGGGAAATAAATTCAGCACAGGATGTAGCATCATTATGGGATGAACTTATAAAATAGTGGGTTGGGCAGCTACATGGCAGATGAGGTTCAATATTGGGAAATGTAGGAGAGGAGGAGCCAGAGCATGGCATCAAGTGGGAGCTCAATGTGAGAGCTTCTGGTTACCAGGCGCCCCCATTGTCCCACCTGAAAGAAAAAAAAATGCCCGAGAGGCTGCTGCTGAGACCTACCTGAGTGTGGGTACGGTCCCCCTTGAGGAGTGTGAGTCCCGTGGACCCTGTTGTGTGGGGTTGGGCGGTGGAGGGAGATGGAGCTGAGGTGGAGGAGGAGAGCAGTTATCCCTGTCAGCTGGAGAGGAGAGGAGGTGGACCTAGCTGGAGCTCAGTGAATGGTGGGGGGTCCACTTCAAGGGAGCGCTGGGAGGTAGAGAAGCTGGCCGGCCAGTGTGTATGAGTGAGCGGGACCCCGGCTCTCTCCTCTCTTGCCTGATACTGCTGCTGCCAGGGTTTTGCGGAGTCGTGGTGTGTGGAGGACTTGGAGGAGTGCTTCTTGTTCTTAAGGGGAAAACTGCAGGAAATAGAATGTACATTGGCAAACATCTACTGCCCTAATAAAAAAACCTGAGGTTTATTTAAAAAATATTCTGAGGAAGCTCCTGGACTTTAAAAAAGGCAAACTAATTGTGGCAGGGGACTTTAATTTTTGCATGGATCCTCAGACTGATACGACGTCACTTGTGCAGAGAGATGGAAGTAAGCCCTTGAAATCCATATGGAGAATGTTGCATCAATGTCCCTGGTTAAAGTAAATATAGAAGTCATAACAATATCGGGCCATGCACCTGTCACAATGAAGTTATTATGGGGAAGAGTGCAAAATAAGTTAAACACATGGAAATTAAATGAGACATTCCTTCAGGATCATGAGACGGAACAGAGGTTAAAAAAAGAAATAGAGCAATATTTTGAAAGAAATGGGACTGAAGGAGTTTCAGTGGCAACGGTGTGGGAAGCCCATAAGGCCTATATTAGGGGAGTCTTGATAGCGATTGGGGTAAAGAAAAAAAAGAAAGAAAAGAGAAAATAAATACGCTTCTTAGAGATCTACCATATTTTTCGCTCCATAAGACGCACCTGACCATAAGACGCAGCTAGGTTTTAGAGGCAGAAAACAGGAAAAAAAATATTCTGAACCAATGGACTGCAGACATAGTACAGGAGATGACCAGAGACTGCGGACATAGTACAGGAGATGACCAGAGCCTGTGGACATAGTACAGGAGATGACCAGAGACTGCGGACATAGTACAGGAGATGACCAGAGACTGCGGACATAGTAAAGGAGATGACCAGAGACTGCGGACATTACAGGGATGACCAGAGACTGTGGACAGTACAGGAGATGACTGCTGACCTTTGGGGAGGGGGGGAATTTGACAGGTACCCGCTCCCACTTCCGCGGAGTTGTTCTTTAGTTAGTGTCCGCTCTGCAGTGGGACCTTATCTGTTCCTCTATCCAGCCGCGCACTGTCTTCCTGGCTTCCGTAGTGTGGGCGCTCGGCTTGACAGCCGGGTGCCCAGTGCGCATGAGCGAGAAGCACTGCGCTTTGTGATTGGTCCGGCGGCTTCTGGGACCAGTCATGTGTCCCAGGTGCCGCCTTACCATTCACAAAGAGCACCGCTTCTTGTGCATGCGCACTTGGCACCCGGCTGTCAAGCCGAGCGCCCACACTACAGAAGCTGGGAAGACAGCGCGCCGCTGGATAGAGGAACAGGTAAGGTCCCGCTGCAGAGCTGAGCGGCCGGCCCGGTATTCTGACACGGCGGCGGTGGAAATACCGGACCGGACACTCCATATTTGCTCCATAAGACGCACTGACATTTTCCCCCCCTTTTTGGGGGGAAAAAAGTGCGTCTTATGGAGCGAAAAATACGGTATGTAAAATTAGAACAGCTACATAAAAAGAGAATAACAAAAGAGACTCAGCAGAGTATGATAAATAAACGAGAGGAACTAAGTAATCTATTGGAGGAAGAAATGAGAGCTTTTAACAGGATGACAAGTGAGAGATATCGTTGGGGAGAAAGACCAAGGAAATATTTAATGAGAGCACAGAGAAAAAAGAAATCTATGAATTATATAGAGAAAATAAGAGATAATAATGGAGAATTAGTGTATTCAACTAAGGATATTGCAGAAGTATTTAAAATATACTACAGTAAGTTATATAATATCACCCCCCATTGGCCCATAAGAGAAGAGGAAGAAAGAATTAAAAAAAGACAAATATACTTAAAAGAGGCAAGCTTACCAAGGTTAAGAGAAGAACAGTTAATATCCCTTGAAAAATCGATAATGCAGGAGGAAATTTAGGTAGCATTGAAGAGTACAACAGCAGGGAAAAGCTTGTGACCAGATGGGTATACTGTGAGATATTATAAAAAATTTAAAGACCAATTAATACCCAAGTTGAGGTTATATATGAATGCATTGGAAGGAGGGATGGAAATGAGAGAGGAATCCTTGTAAGCTCATGTTACAATCATACAGAAAGAAGGAAAAGACGGTACTCCGTGTTTTAGTTATAGACCTATATCCCTCTTGAACACAGACACTAAACTATATGCAAATGTCCTTGCAAACAGGTTGAAAGATCTAATCCCGGATTGGATTCATATGGATCAGGTGGGTTTTGTCCTGGGGAGGGAGGGTAGGGATAATGGATTAAGATCTTTGCATCTTATACAAAGTCGCAAGCGAGAGAAAGTCCCCTCTCTGCTTTTGACATGCTAGATTGGTGGTATATGCAAGATTCATTGGAAGTCTTGGGGATAGGCCCCAGAATGAGAGAATGGATAAGGAAGCTATATATTCAACCCTCTGTTGCAATAAAGGTCAATGGAGAGCTATCAGAGTTCTTTAGGATGTATAATGGGACATGACAGGGATGCCCATTGTCACTTTTAATATTTGTATTGTTCCTGGAATCTCTCCTAGCAACGATAAGGAAAAACATAGACATAAAAGGGATCCAGATAGGAGAGACAGAGCATAAGGTAGCAGAATATGCTGATGACATGCTGTTCTATGTGGTTAACCCTAGGCTACCATTGCCTAACCTAATGAAAATAATGAAAGAGTATGGTGAGTTGTAAAATTTAGAAAATAATTAAACTAAAACTGAGATCTTAAACGTTAATCTTCCAAGTATTGAGAAGAAAATTTTACAAAGAGAATTTCCCTTTTCATGGAAGGAAAGGGAGCTAAAATATCTGGGAATAAATTTAACCGCATCCTCAAAGAACCTATATAGAGCAAACTATATCTCATTAATAAATGAGATCAAGAACAAATTAAGGAAATTAGTGACAGGAGCTCCATCTTGGATAGGACAAATACATTTGATAAAAATGGTAATTGTTCCAAAAATTTAGTATAAATTCCATATGTTGCCTATACAGCTTCCAGGAATGTATTTTAAAACCTAGAATAAGCTATGAAGTTCTATGCAGAGATAAGGATAACGGGGGATTGGGTGTACCAGATTTTAATAGATATTTTCTATTCAGTATTGTTATCACGTATTTTTGTTTGGACACATAATGCACTTGGGAAAAGTTGGATAAACATAGAAAATACACTAAGTGAGACACAATTGAGTAGGATAGTGTGGCTACCACCTCAATATCTTAAGCTGGCAGAGAGCAAAAGCACTTATACACAAAATGTCTTAAAATTTTGGGATACAGTTCACAAACAAATGGGATGGGAATTTCATTCTCCTGCTGCCTATAGTGGCCACATATTTCTTTCCACCTGGGAATGAAAGCATTGCGGGGAAATGGATAAGAAAGGGAGATGCACAATTACAGGATATAATGAATGGGGAAGAAATCTGTTCCGTTCAGGAACTGAAAAATAAGAATGAGTTGTTTTCTAGATTTGATCAGTGGCGATAAATTCAATTAAAACATTTTGTTGGAAAGCTCCCCAGGCCCCTAAGGACAAAAGTTGAGTTGAACCCATTTGAACAATTACTGAGTACACGTAGGAATGGGAAGCATGGGACTTCCCGAATTTATAAAATCCTCACTAGAATGACAGAAGTCACTGTCCCTTTGTATATAGAGAAATGGGAAAAGGAATTGGGTCTATCATTAGACAAGCAACAAAAAAAATTTATAGATTAGCACATGGGTCTGTAAATATGAAGGTGGTGGAAATGAACTATAAATGTTTAGCTAGGTGGTATATTACACCGAGTGTAGCACATATGCAATGTGGAGATAATCACCTTTGTGTTGGCGTGAGTGTGGGGAGCGTGGCACAATGGCACACATTTGGTGGGAGTGTCCTAAAATCAAGGAGTATTGGAAGGGAACAATTCACCAGATTCAGGAGTTAATTGGGATTAAAATTGCAAAAGACCCAAGGGTCTGTTTACTT